CAGGGACAGCTTGAGAGATTTTCTGATTGAGAAAAGCTTTCCCAAAGCTTGGAGAATTTCCTTCTATGGGCAGGGACGTCCCTCCACATTTTCAAATATATGAGAGAAAATCAAATGCATCTCTGGAGTTGCTTTTGTGCTAAGGATTGGAGACAAGTGAAATGTCTACTCCAAAGACCAACGCACACGAAATGACTGTTTGCCTGGGGAAGGGAATTATCTCAGAAAGGAAAATTAAGGCTATTTCCTCAAATCAGGAGCTGAAAGGTTTGGGTAAGGTCAGTCCCCGTGTCTCAGCTCGCTAGCAGGGTACATCACCTTGCCCAGGCTCTCTGGAGCTTGCTGGAGTGCAGTTGCCCCCTGCCAAGCTATATTAACAACTCCTCGTTAAAGCTTTCCCGTGCAGCAAGGAGGTGAATTACCATCTCCCTACGCTAAGTATCATCACCACGATCACCACTGGGGTCTCTGAGGTCCCTCCTGTCCCCATTTGGTATCATAAGAACTCAACTGTGGAGAAATGACACAAAAGAAGGTGGGGGGGGGGAATAAAAAAACCCAGTTGAAGGAGGCTGTCGCTTCTTGTGACAGGACTTGGGTCCAAACTTCTGGCCTTTTAGAGAAATTCTCACAAAAGATGAGAAACAACCTAAAGGCTCTGGGATGAAGCAGGCAGAAGAATGGGGTAAGTGTATGCAGTGTGACTGCCTGCTTCCTCCCCTGCTCCTCACACACACACACAGGCTCACTGCTCCAGGCACTACAGCTAAACTGCTGTCAAGATCCCCGCTGTGCGTAGGGAAGAGGAGGAGCAGAGTGCAAGTTACTGGCTGGATAATAAGAAGGATGTTAGCTCAAATTAAAATCAAAGTCCAAAATGCTTCACCACCGCGTCTGTCAGTGACCCAGCAGAAGAGATGGTGAGAATTTGGCCAACAGCAACTTGCTTTGGACATGGGGGAGCGTGTAGAACCTCAGGGTCTTACCCAGCTTCTTGTTTGCAGGTGAAACTGGAACATCATCCAGGCGTGTTACAGACAGGGAGGCAGGAGTGGAATTGCTGGTTGTTGATCTGGACAGAGACCTGCTAGTGCTCCTCTGCTCAGGCCGCTGTCGGAGAGACGAAGGGCTCTGGGAAGGATGCATGATGAGCGATTTTGTGTCAAAGCCATTCGCTAGTTCAGGCACTGCTGTAGAAAAGCACACTGGTTTAAAAGGGGAATGAAGAGGACAGCAGAACACTGAGCACCTCTTTACCACAATAAGCAAAAAAAAAATCAGAAATTAAACTGGGATGAGATGTGAGGAAGAAATTCTTCACTGTGAGGGCCAGCACAGCGACCAAAAAAACCAGTTAAAAAAATCAAGAGAGCACCAAGCAGGGGAAATGGCTTTAGGCTGGAAGAGGGGAGGTTTAGATGAGATATTAGGAAGAAGTTCTTCACTGTGAGGGTGGTGAGACAGTGTCCCAGGTTGGCCAGAGAAGCTGTGGCTGCTCCTCCCTGGAAGTGTTTGTGGCCAGGTTGGATGAGGCTTTGAGCAACCTGGTCTAGTGGAAGGTGTCCCTGCTGCTGGCAGGGGGGTTGGGACTGGATGAGCTTTAAGGTCCCCCCCAACCCAAACCAGTCTGGGGTTCTATGAAAATCAAGGTGAGCTGCTCTTTCCTAAAGAGCCATCCAAACAAAGGGGTATTTAAAGCCAAAAGAAGGAATACACAGAAGCAGGAAGCAGCTCCTCTGCTTTTTAAAGACTCAGTGCCCCGTCTCCTGCTCTACTTTACAGAGACTAACCTGTTCTATCAGGCATGTCTGGTGCAGCAGACTCACAATCCTCCAGCTCTCTGGCATCAATTGAAAGTGCATCCAAACCTTCGCTGAGTGAGTCCACAGACTCCGTGTCGTGGGCACAACCGTTGACATGGAAACCGTTAATTCCACCCTTCTCCGAGTTTGCCGACTGCTCCTCTTCAGTGGACACCAATTTACTGGGGTCTGGAAGGCCAGGGTTTGATTCAGCTTGTGGTTTTGGTTTGGTTTTCTTCTTCTTGTTCTAAGGATTAAGTAATCCACACCACAAAAGGAAGGGAAAAGAAAAAAAAAAAACAACAAATAAAGAAGAAGAAAAAAAAAAGTTAAGCTTAATTCCTGAAGGGGAAATTAAAATTCCTGAAGGGGAAATTAAGCTTTATGCTTACTGGCTGAAAGTAGCTGAATTAAATGCTTTTTCAGCCAGCCTGGTTGTTGATCCTATTAACAAGAGGAGGGATTTATTCAACAATGAGGACAGATAGAGTGGCATTAATGAGGGACGAATACATTATCCCCTTGGACGATGTGCCAACAAGAGTCATGGTTATCAGATGAAGGCTGCATAACTGATGTGAAACAGCAGAGAGGTTCCTGGCTGGAACCCACAGCAGCAGCCAGGTCGATTTTAAAGGGTGCCCACTGGCAGGGTGCTCTGCTAGACCTTACTCTGATCAAACTTCCCTCAGTTCCCAACACTATTCAGTCCCATTTTTCCCCCCCTCCTCTCCATTTCATGCTGGTGCTTTTCACATATTCAAAGAAATCCTTTTGAATAATTATGATTTTATTCTTGTCCTGGTGGATTTAGATATTATAATATCAAGTAGTGAAACTCTGTAAATCTTTATTTAAATCTTTATTTAACCCTTTCACAGAGGTCTGAGCAAAGAACCAAGCGAAACACTCGAGGAAGCTTACGTGACAAAGAAATATATTTCCACAGAGCTCAGCATTTAAATGCAACTGTTCAGCTCCAAAGGTTAGCGATGAAAAATGGAACAGCATGACTATCTGAGCAGTGAATTACAGAGCTCTGCTGAAATAAATGGACCTGAGAAAGATTTACTTCAGCGTGGGGCTGTGTGTGTGTGGGGGGGGGGTTAGGGGTCCTGTAGAGGGTCAGCAGTGACTGTAAGGACAGAAAATCCAGAATTGTTTTTTTCCAGATGTTACATTTGTCACGACAGCTGAGCTAAATGCAAATGTGAGGAGAAGATGATGTTTACAACTGGCCCTGAAGTCACTGTGTAAATCATTGCCCTGAACAACGAGGCACCTGATAACCTCACGATTATCTCCGTGCATCAGTTCTGACAACACCGCTATACACGTTTGGCTCTTTGGTTTCTTTTTCCCCATCTAAATCACAAGGAATGCTGACTGCTCCCTGCAGCCTAAATCCTCCAAATAAAAAGATAAACACCTCAGCAAGGAAAGTTAAAAAGCATTACCTTTTTTTTGCCTGTTACAGTCCATTCTTTCAGCACTTCACTGGCATTACCTGAAATAAAATGCAGTGATGAGCAGTGGATGAAGCATCTGCTCCAGTTCTTTCCCATTCACATGGAAGTGCCTCCATACCTGGGGCCAGCTGTAAATGCTGCCTGCAGCCAAGTTTCAATTCTCTTAGTTGATGTAATAAAAAAGGATGGGTTTCATTTTTGCTTTGGGAACACACTGCTGAAGAGGACTAATCCCTTATAACACAGTGCCAGCTCTTTCCAGGAAAAATAAAAAAGAGAAAGAGAAAAAAACCTCTTCTCTTTGGCTCATACCAAGGTTTAGGTACTTGGAAACCTGCTGGAGCATGTTCTGAACTCAAAGGTTGCGTTCAGGTCAGGTATCTGCCAGCCTTCTCTCCCCAGAGACACCGACTGTGGCAGCCTGAGGAATAGCTGTCGTAGCTTCTGCAGGCCAGAGGCAACGCGCAGCCGTCGGTGATGGCCAGTATGGAAATAAAGAGCTGCAAAGCGACAGGTACTGTCACCAGTAACAACCTGTTTTTCCAAGGTCAGAAAATCCATCTCATGCAGCATGCCAGCCAGACCTCAGTGAAGATTTGTGAGCCAGGTTTCAAAGTACAAACAACAACTATCGAAGCTGAAGACATTCCCGTTCTGTACACACGAACAAGAGCATCAAAACCCCCGTTATCTAAAGAGCTATCAAATGCTTATCTCTGCCCTGACCCCCTAGATGAACAAACACCAACCAAAACTTGGGAAGAGAATCATCCCTTTAGTTATCTTTGTGGGTAAAGCCTGTAGTTGGACCTGTTGAGAAGCTACATGAGCTTCTGCTACCTGGTGTATTTACTGCACACAGCTCTTTCTGCACAAGGGCTATTGCTGCTTCTGACACAGGTCTGTACAAGTGACGAAGCCACCAACCCTGGCAAGAAACCAGAGCAAGAAACCTTTACCTTAATCACAGAATCACAGAATGTTGGGGA